CGAGTGCGACAGGAGGGCTGCCCTCTGCTTCCGCCGCTATGTGAGCACCTACAACCGCAAATATGCCCATTACCCCAACAAGCTGTGCACGGGACCCACCCCGCCCTGCTAAACTCTGCTTGGCTGCAGCCCCGCCTCAGGCTGCTATAATCCCAGTCCTGAAGAAGTTTAGAAACCAAGGCCCTTCCTCTGGAAAATTCCGCCCCTTCCCCAGAGTTTCCACACTTCCCCCAGGAAGAGCCTCAGGAGCCATGGGCCTCTGCAGCACCCACAAGACTCAGTAACCCCACCCATTCTCTCTTCTGAATAAGTGAATATGCTCTCTTTAATTCTAGGATTCTCTGATTTGCAGATTTTGTCATGCTAGGTTTTGATTAGTCTACAATCCYGTTCTCTCATTTATTCGTTTGTTCATTCTTTCATATTTTGAGCACCTGCCATGCACCACCCTGGTGCTAAGCACTGGAATACGGTAGGAATGAATCTGACTTGGGGTCCCATCTGTAATGCCAATATTAAGTCCTTTTAATTTTCCACAGCAGTAAGATTCCATTATTCTCTTCTTCTAAAGTTCTACAATCTTCTCTGAGACAATAATGGCAATCTCCAAAAGGAATATTTCTGGCCATATGGCTTAATGTAAGAAGGATAAAAACTACCAACCTAAAAATATTGTCCCCACTGTCATCAGGCCTCAAAACGYCCCCACTGACAAAGACTGATTTAGATGGAAAAGTAGCTCCAGATCCATCTTATCTAACCCTCTTTTTTGACACCTGAGGGTCAGAGAAGGGACACTGTACCAGAGTATCCTTGCTCTTCTCCCTTAATTTTTTTCAACAAGTTGGCATCAGCTGCCAGTGTTGTGACATGGCCATGTTGACCAGACCCTGTAGTTGTTACCTTGGAAAGATCGCATATCTAGGGCAGGCCAACTGTGAGCATATGCAGCCTGTGATGCTCCTGAGAGAGCAGGAAGAGGAGAGGGTACAACATGGCAGGTCAACCAAAGGATTTCCACCAGAGAAACAGCCGGTTCTGAAAGCCACAAGCCTCAGTAGATTTAACTCTGGAAGGCAGATCTGCTGTCTCCACCAGCTGCCAGACACGGATGGAATCCTACAGGACCAGGATGAGCCTATTGAAGGAGACCAAGCATGTGCTGCATRGTGCAAAGCTGTGGCCCGTGCTGGATAAACTTCACTCCCTTTCCTCCTTCGCATGGTGTGTGTACACCCATGGGGACTTTGAGGAGCACAAGAAATCAAAGGGATGCATCCTCCTAGACTTTTAGACAACAAAGCTCTGAGCTAGAAAAAAAATAGCATGGGGACCAGTATGTGAGCTTTGCTGTTGTAATTGACCCAAAGTTGGAACCATCCAAAGATGGTGTCTTGATACAAGATTGGCTTTTGTGAGCCTGAGTCCGATTTGTCAGGTAACATGATCCTAAGGCGCCCCCTGGTGTCCAACTTGTTCAGATTACTAGGAAGAAACCCAAATTCGGTTCACATGGATTTCCCTTCACCCCCTGGGCAGTTCCTCAGGCTGGTGAAATTCCTAAACTTGCATTGTCAGAAATGAATATGCTAAGGAATCATCAGAGAAGGACTTCCCACCATCTTAGGGTATTGGTGTGTCTGCAGAAGTAAGAAAGTCGGGGAAAAGGAGCTGACTTGGGTAGAGTAGAAAGGTGACTTCTGAGCATAATGGGATGAGGACCTGGTAATCTTCCCATTGTAACTGTCCAAAAATGTGAGAACTGCAACTAAAGACAGATCCCAGTACAACCTGCTGTGACCCCAGGTGGTGAGCCCCTTGGTCATTCATGGCCAGGTCGTATCCTTTGTTTTTCCAGAGCTCAATAAACGTTCAATGAATGAATSGAGGAGAAGGTTTGGATTCCATCTGCACATGTGTGGATCTATAATGCACTTGGTTTCTAGTTGCAGACTTGTGAAAATGACTGAAAAAGGAAAATGAGAGCTCTGTACTGAAGTCAGAGGCTCCAGGTACACATCTATGTTCATCCTCTTAGCAGCAGGGGGTGTGTTGGCGCACTGACTGCTCAGGGAGGTGTGTGGACAGCAGCAGCAGCAGCAGCAGCAGGGGGTCTTGTTAGAAAAACAGCCCTTACTCCAGCCCTGCTGAATCCTTCAATAGGTTAACAAGACCTCCAGGTGCGCAGGTGAAAATCTTAGAAGCCTGGTCACAGATTTAGTCTCTGTATTTGTAAAATGGAACAATGACATTCCCCTGACAGATGGTTGTGGTGAGGTTTAAATAAATGAGTATGTGTGACCGCATATTTATATGCCTAGCACATAAATAAGCATTTGGTCCTATGAATGAATGTTAAAATAACAAGTGATACCGCTGGTTATCGGTGACCTGCTCCCTCTCGTTGAAGTTTGAACATTAGAGAAGCACGCCGAAGCAAGCATATAAGGCAGGGTTTACTTAAAAAGGGGTAACATAGACTTCTCCCAGGGCTGGGGATGTGGCTCAAGCGGTAGCGCGCTCGCCTGGCATGCGTGCGGCCCAGGTTCGATCCTCAGCACCACATATAAGCAAAAGATGTTGTGTCTGCTGAAAACTAAAAAAAAAAAAAAAAAAATAGACTTCTCCCAGGAGTGAGAAGGGGGCCCTAGCTGGTTCCTGGTATCCCGAGGAGAAGTGAGGTCTTCTGCCCTTTTATGCATCTTAGGCTTCCTTTGTTCTCCTGCTCTCTTGCCCTTATCTTTCTCCTCCCTGTGACTAGGCCTAGGAAAGGTTGGTGGGGTGGCCCAGTGGTGGGAAACAGGTGGACTGAACAGGGAAGGGCAGGCTGGAGCAGCCCAGGACATATTAATTAACAACTTTACAGCTCCCTGTAAGGAGAGGCAATTCCTGGGGCAGGTTGCCTTAGCAACTGGTTGGAGCAGGGGAGGGTTATCTTGATAGGGTGAAGGAAGGGCTCTGAAGGCCTTTCAATCCCTCGGGGGCGGGACAGTTTCCAACTTCCAGGACTCACTCAAAGTGGCCTCCTTGATCTGACCAGACTCGATTTATCTATCTATACTGTCTGTCTGTCTAATTCTGGCTTCACAGGGATAACATTTTATTAAGCACCTAGAGTTTACAGGGCACTGTTCTCAGCGCTTTATGTGTATTAATTCTTCAGATGAATGCGTGGATAAAGAGTAAGGCAAAGRACTACACCAAGGCTGGTGACAGGGCACTGACCTCAATGTTTCATAGCATCTCTCTTCCATTTTGAAGACAGGGTTTGGATTGTTTTTGCTTTTGTTCCTACTTACCCCCCTAACAAAAGCTAGGCATGAAGTGCCCAATTAAATCACTTGCTGAATAAGTGATTAGAAATCACAATGGAATTCCCGAGCTAACTGAAGAGTCTGATTATGATTCCACGGACATGTGTCTGCTTCTCTGAGGTTCTTTGCAATGTTGTAGCTGGAGAACTGAATACTATTAAAGATCATCCTTTCTTTCAATAAGCTTTGTATAAACTACATTTCTGGCATTAGGTTGAGTGTTAGGGATAGAGAAAAATTAGATGGGTTAACTGGCAGGCAGAGAGCAAATATTCTACACTAATTAAAGCTAAGAGTAGAGAATCAGGACCAAAGGGCCTCCCTCCTTCATCCAGTCTCTCTCCCGTCCACCAGTGGCTTGATGTACATCCAGTCAACTCCTCCCAGCCATACCATCAGTAGCTCTCCATTATCCACTGCTTTTCTGCCTTCATTCCTTCATGCAATACTTCCCTCAACCTAAAAAGCTTCCCCTGTCCATGAATGCACCTCAAATTCCACCTTTCCCAGCTGGAGCAGAATTCAGTCTCCTCTGAAGGCCAGCTCATGTTTTGGGACCTTTACTAGTGCTGCTTACCCATTATTTGGGTTCTTGTGTGGTGGCAGTAGGCAGTCCTGGGTCCAAATCCTGCTTCTGCTACCACCTGTGATCTTGGTCCATTTATTTACTCTTTCATGTGTAAAATACAGAAAGAGTATCAGCCCTGTGGGGTGGTTTTAAGCTTCCTATGAGACAATGTATTCAGAGTGCCTGGTGCGTTACTAACACTCCATCCATGCCCAATCACCTGTCCTTTTGCCTCCCCTGCAGCATCATCGCACCACAGATGCTAAATAAGTATCTGTTCAGTTGAATCCATGGGCTCATGACAACCGGAACTATTTTAGGGAACTGATGCCACACACTAATGCTATATGATTCATGCAAACAGTCTGTTGGTTCACTACCATCTGAGTGCTCATTTATCTTAAATGGGCCTTATGTTTTAAAATATTAATCTTCAGTGTCCTTGAGCTGACAGCCCACAGACAGATAAAACTGGCTGGAGAGACCTCACAGCTACCTGTAACGTCCCCAGGTCAGAAAGCACACAAGACCTATTCCATACACCAAGAAAGCAACCAGGCTGAACTAAGCACACCTGGTCTTTAGAACTCACTCAGCAAGCATGGTATTAATCTTCCAGTAGCAAAAAGGGACATGGGAAGCATGTGAACAAGTAAGTCCCCAGTCTTCCTCCAAAATTTGTACCCTTAATAAACTATCTTAACTACATGGACGTTCCCACTCCAGGGTTTTGCTTATGATGGTCCTTAGGTACAAAATGCTCTATTCTGCATCCTCTCTCCCCTTTCACTCCTGGTCCCAATGCCACCTCCTATAAGAGCCTTCCTTGATGTCCTGATGGCTGTGTTCACAATCACCTTCTCAGCCTTCCATTAGGGMATGTGTTCTCTCCGGTCACAGTCACATGTTCCTTTTGCCCCCTGGACTGGAAGCTTTTTGAGGACGGGCCCATGTCTGTGTCACTACCCAGAAATATTAGCTATATATAGCAGAGGGTCATCAATGTTGCATGGATTCCTGAATGTTTAGATGGGTGACTAAATTGAACTAAATCTGAGTAACCAAGTCCTTCTATAGGAAGGTTTTTAGCAAAGAAAAGAAAGAGCTAAAACTTTGTTTTTAAACTAGAATTTATTGGTATACAAAACTCCATTTCATAGATAAGTGGCACATCTTTGCAGCTTCTATTGCACCAAGTAGTAAAGATTAAAAACAAAAAAGGAAACATTTGGTTTTGAAAACACTGCAAATAGCCAAGTACAGTACTTTGGTAAATAAAAAATAAAATGGTTCAGATGAACACAATCTGTGAAAAGAAAAGGCCTAGGGGAAATGAACTATGGACATCGATAGTGGTCACATTTCTCACCCCCGAGCTCCAGAGATAAGGCAGACTTGCTAAGTCTATGGATTATGACCCCATGGAGGTCTTAAGTATCTCCAGACCGAAGCTAGAACAAGTATAGTGCAATTAGGAAAAAGAGAAGGCCCATCCCCACAGACTCCTTGCCCTCAGTCCTAGGGGTCTGACGCACACCAGCACTCTGACACCAGGAAGGGGAACACGTGGGTGCTGAGTCTAGCTCCTGGCTCTCTTCCCCCTTTCTCTGAGCTTAGTGCTAGTGAAAGATGCTGGAATGGTAGCCACCATGGAAAACAAGCCCCAAGAATGGAAAGACACCAGTACGGCTCAAGTTTCAGTCGAAAGACTTGCCAGGGAATCAAACCACGAACAAAGGTCTGTGACTACGCGCCAATRATTGTCATGGACGGCTGGCAACAGGGACCTGCTAGATAACATGCAAAGGATCAGAGCCAGACCCCAAGGGTTTCCTCCAGTGATCAGGACCTTYTGTGACAACCGGCACAGCGAGCAGAAGCACTGTGGATCACAGGTGTGCTCATGGAAATCATGCTGCACATTGGCACCAGCCCCTCCCTGGGTAACTCTGAGAAGATATTCAACACTTCACTTGAGCTACAAAGTAGTCATAATGAGGAGGGTTAAACAGAGATTCTAGAAAAAATCACTTGGAAGAAATCATTAAGAGCCTGAGGTTTTGAGAGCATGTTTTACCTGGGACAGAAGAGGGTCAGGCCATCCACAAGGCACAGCTCTTTCCTGTGGTCCAGCCTCCGTGGACAGCAAGTCACACACTGTTCACACACTGTCCACACACCGGGCCACAGAGGTTTAGTATCATCTCCACTTGTGAGAAATGATCAGTTTGACTTTTTCTAACATGTAGTGGCAGATTTATTAAAACTTAAGTGCATGCATCTAGATCTTCAATTCAAGGATGTCAGTGGGAAAACAAAATCTGCTTCACAGTTAGGGAAACACATCTTTGTAAAAAGTGCCATTATTAAGTCAGCTCTGAACAACTGCCAGAAAGCTGTTTCAGCACACCTGACGTGCAAGCGGAGATGAGCAAAACCGTGAGTAATGACAATGGCAGGAATGCTGCATCTGACCCTGCATCTACAGGTGCGATACAGACTTGAGGTAAAGAGGTGAAGAGCTATGTGTCTACGTGACATGGGAGTCAGGGAGGGCACGGAGGTGACACACTCAATCAAGAAGCTCCACTCTCTTCCTGCCACAAAGAGCCTTCTCTCCAGTCAGGGTGACTTTTAGTCAGTTCTGACTAGGGATTCAAGTTTCCTCCCATCAACTGAATATTTGGGTTGAACATTTCACAGAGGTAAACTCAAGGGTGTTCCATGTTGACCCAGTAAAACCCGGGCACACTCTAAAGAGTTTCTCACAATGCAAGAAACTGCACATTGACTACAGGGACTCACTACAAGTGTGATCCACTACCAAAGTCCATCTGAAATGACCACATGACATGTGAGCAACTCTCTCTCTCTCCCCACCTTTACATGGCCCTCCTCCCCAGCCCGCCATCATAGGTCACATTGTCAAGCTCCCCAGGGAAGCAGAGCAGGGCACTATGACCTACATGAAGTTCACTCTGAGCCCAGCTCCAACTGCCCATTAAGGGAGACACACATTGCACAGTCCTCTCCATCAAAATGAAATTGGAAATGTCTTCAGAGCTTATTTAAAAAACAAACAAACAAACTATAAATGACTTCAACTAACATTTAAGATTCTTCTTTCTGCCACAATTCCTCAACCATGCTTTACTCCTGAAGGTGTATATTCTTATTATTGAAAAATTAAATATACATATACATTCTATCTTTCTAATGTCTCCCAGTAACAATTATATTATTTATAAGCTGTGGTCTATGTTGTTTTAATACATCTAACTCCCTAGTTAAAAGCTGTTGTAATAAATTTTTTTTTCTTATTTTGATGTTTTTAAAAAAATCCATAAAACCTTTATATACAGTCTATAAGGCCAGAAAGCAGCTATGAAATGCTGCTCTACCCTCTTCTCCTGGCCCTCCACAGGCTACTGAGACCTAACCTTGTGTAGTATAATCTTTACCAGCTGAGTTGCACCCCAGAGGTTGAGACAGATTCAGTCCCCAGTACTGAGTTCCATAACTGTGCTGGGTTGACCAGCACAGTTGCTGTCATTAGTTGGATTGCTGACAATCATCACCTCAAGACTGAACGTATGGCCTCCACTCTGGCTGCCAATGAAGTAACGATCGAGTGCCCAACAAGGCAACTAAGCCTGAGGATTCTATCCACTTCTCACTCCAAGGAGACCAAGGCAGTGGTCTAAATTCCAACCTTCAGCTAGAAGATACCTTTGAAGCTGGGTGCCATACCCCCATTTCCAATAATTAACACACTAAGCACAGACCAATTATAACTGAAAAGCTGTACAATGGTAACAAAAGAAAATTACTAAAGTCATTTGATTAGTTTTTAAAACCACTGCTATTGTGCTCCAGAACTGCTGAAGCCTATTATCAGAATTAGGTAAYTTATAAACAAATATTCCTAATATTCTTTAATAAAACATTCAGCAGCCTCTAAAACTCTGTAGGGYCCAAGGCCACCTTCATTAACCAAGTCAATGAAGCAATCCAACTAATCACAACAACGGTCACCCACAGGTATTTTTCTACTTTAATTCTGAGCTTCTGATAAAGCTGATCCTTTTGAGAGAATCTGGTCTCTGCACTCACACAGTACAGAGCAGATAGGAAAGAATGTTCTTTCAGAAAAGCTCAGCCAGCCAGGAATCTGCCCAGAGGTGAAAGCCAAGAGAACAATTTGTCCTCAAACACCAGATCCCACCCCCTAAGAAAAGGCAACAGAGAGCCTTCCTAGTTGGAACTGAGTGCCAGTACTCGGGAGTCTTAAACTCAGGACTGTGATGAGCAAAGAAAAGGTGCTGTACAGTCTTTAAATCTGCACAATATTGCAATGTACTGAACCCAGGAAGAAGCCCAAACCACAATGTCCTGGGAGCAACTCCAAGAGACTTCCGATGATATTGTAGATATTCCAACTACAAAAAGTCCCCAAATCAAACAAACAAAAATTAAAAGGCATCAATGAAACTAAGAAAGCAAAAAGCCTACTGACAGGGACAATTCCACAGGGCCAGGGTCCACTCTGATAGTGACAGTTCTCACACTTTAAAACTACTTACGGTTTCCACTCTGCCTCTAGGTTCTCATAATTTTGAGATCTGAGGGTTGCAGCCGACAACAAAGAATTGACTTTTTGACTCAGCATATATTATTTGCCCATGTACTAGGCTCCCAGAAGGCAAAGACTCCCACCCGCCTCACACATGACCATTTTAGAGTTCTCATCCACCTAGCCCAGTTCTGGGAATGGGATCTGTCCCCTGATGGAATGTTTCAGAACTGTGAGTCACTTGAAGGTCTGAGCCCAGAGAAGCACTCCACCTTGCTGGTTTACCCTAYAGGCACAACTAATGCTGCCCCATTCAAATCCCACACTGGGCTTAAGTAACAAAAAATAAACGCCATATTTTATGGAATTTCATTGCCACAATACTAAGAAAATTTTGCAACCTATAAGGTCAAGTTATCATTTTTTTCTCTAAAGGCATCTTTCTAAGTCTATAATACTAGGGAAAAAATAGTTGTTCAAACAGTGAACATAAAAAAAACCTTAGATATTCATCCAAACTTCTGCTATAGAAGCAAATCATTCTTTAGATTCTTCCTAGACAGAAACCTAGGAGTTTCCTGATTGTTCTACAACTATGGCATCTGCTCTATGACTATGGATGATCTGAACTGCAGAACTCTCTCACAGCAGTAACACACCATCTTCCCAACTGTTAAAAAAACAAACACCAAGACTCAACAACACGACTGATCTCCCAGGAAAGCTGAGGCCTCACTCTCCACCAAGCAGGTACCCACACTATGGCTGACCACAAATGGGCCCATAGCACCTGCCATCTGCAATGACGTCAGTCAGGAAGGAGAGGTGAGCTGTGCAGTCCCCCCACCCCCTGACTCTGTAGGCCACCTCCTTGTATCACATTACTCTGGGAAAACACTTTCTGAATTGTTGAGTAAATCAGATAGGGAAAAAATTCAATCTAAATATGTTCCTGAGTTGGAGATCATTTATAAACCACTCTACATGTTGATATCTGTTTGAAAATGAAAGAGAAACTAAGGAAATCTGTTATTCTGAATTTCTAACAGTTAAACTACTTCATGAACAATCACAGCAAAACTTACCCTAAGTAATAAAGGAAGATCCCAGGGTCACTGAACTCTTTTTTTCAGGGCAAATAAAGCCACAAAGGTTTTTCCTGACCTAACTATCCACTCTTAAAACTCAGTATTTTAAGTGTGTATTACAGAATATGAATGGCTTCACTGCACCTTTATAAAACAAAACACAGCACTGACAGAACTTTGAACAAAAGAGGCAGCTTGAAGGAAACTAATTCAGCRTGTGACCAAACAGGCTTTGTTGGTTGCCTCCTTGGAAGGCCTGTGTGCGGCGCTCCATGGTCCTTCTGCTTCCTACAGCTCCTAAGAGGCAGAGTCAGATGTTCAGAGCAGCGAAGGTCTTCACCAAAGTGACCTGTGTGTTCACATCTGCTTCACTCCTGTTGTTGTCCCTGTGGCCACTCCTGTTCTGCAGGGCTTTGTGACGATGCCTCTCCTCCTGTCGCTTCTTCTTCTCCAGCCGTTGCTGTTCCCTGCGTTGTTTGTTTGTGACCTGAAAGAGAAGGCCACTGACGCACAGCTGACTCAAGCTGCCACCTGCTGCAAGAGATGCTGGGCTCACAAATGTCCAAGGCTCTGACTACTTYAGCAAGGAGAGAGGACACCACCCGCATGCCAGAGCAGCTCATTTTCCATTATGTTAAAATGTACATCCCCTCACTGAACTAGCAAACAAAATCAACTCCTTCCTCCTCATAAACCAATTCCAGATGACCTAAAGAGACATTACCCCTATCCAGCAACAGACAATAATCAAGGGGCCAGACGACACCTTTCTCCATAATTTAAGACCCAGATCACTGTAATGAAATCCTCAGAAGCTTATGGCCACTCTGCCTCTGCCTTTTCACATTAGGTGGCATTTAGAGCTCAGAACTTCATGGTAAGTTTTTAAAATGAATCCCAATTTCAGCATAATGAACACTGTCACATCTACTTGTAGGGGTGGGGAGGGAGATGTACACCCTTTCTGGGAAGCACCTGACAATTTACCAAAAGCCTTCAAAAGATTCCAATATACATGCCCTTAAACCTGCTAACTCATCTCCTAACTCTATGCAAGAAAATAGTATGCAACACAAACACACAACACTGTTCACTGCAGATGTGAAAAGTACGGAATAAGGTGGAGGGAGCCCACGTGTGCAATGACGCTGCATGGGCAAAGGCAACTACCCATTTGCACAGGACAGCTCAGCACATATGTCCTAATCGTCACAGCACACACCAAACAAGACAAGGCCTCATTCTGCTTCTAGACATATCTTTATGTATCCCCCAGATTTCCACAATAACTGTTTTATAAATTAAGAGAAAAATACATACTAAAATGAAATGCAAGTTCCCACCACTGCTACAGATTTTCAGCAGCCCACCATCTGCCCTTCTGACTACCTCCCTCATACCTTTGGGAGCTGGTTTTTGTTTGCTTTGTTTTCTTCACTAGGGCTGGTCCGGGCTTTGTTGTTTTCAGTCCTATCTTCATTTAAACCCTGATTTCCAAAGATTCTGGCACCACTGCCACCCTCCTCCCATAAAGGGCCACACTGCTTCGGCGCTTGGTCACCAGGCTCAAGGCTCTCCTCTGCATCTTCCAAAAAAAAGGTATTAATTAAACTGAGAACCTTACAGAGTTACATAATGCAAATGCTATGGTAAAGGACTCCAACATCACCCGAGTCCCCAGATAATTGTTATTTAGGAAGCAAATTTCTTTGAAACAAAACTCTAATACCAAGTCAACAGAGTGGGAAAAATGGGGACAAAATGATGGGTAAATTAGACAGATTTAAAAATAACATGCTAGTCCTAAGGCTTATGGTTAGCTTCCCACAGCACAGTGCTTTGTTTCCTTGGATAAAATGTTTAACATGAATTTTTAGGGAGAAATCATTCATTTGTACTCAAAATTCAGAAGGAGGGAAAAAAAAAAAAAACAGGATCTAAAGCTGGGTTGTCCAATACAGCAGTCACCAGCCACATGTGGCTAYTAAAACTGAAAATCAATTAAATTAAATACCACTTCAAATGCATCTCCCAACCTCACTCTCCACATGTCAAGAACACATCACACTGAATGAGGCTTTCAACTACAAAGATCAAGTTACTCACAGCTTCTGAAGAAGCACAGCAAACATATCAAGTGGATACTTAAATACTCAGACACATGAAGAACTATAATGCCAGGCACAGGAAGTACCTGGCATTGATAACTATCAAAAGAGTATTTATTGGGGCTGGGGATGTGGCTCAAGCAGTAGCATGCTTGCCTGGCATGCATGGGGCGCTGGGTTCGATCCTCAGCACCACATAAAAATAAAATAAAGATGTTGTGTGTCCACCGAAAACTAAAAAATAAATATTAAAAAAATTCTCTCTTAAAAAAAAAGAGTATTTATTGATACCATTTTAATAACCCAAGAAATTATTAAGATTTTACATCTTCTTTCCTCTGAGTCACAAGATTAAACCCAGTTCAAATTTTTAAAACAATTTTGAATTATCACCGTTAAAAAATGTTAGTTCTCTTAATATTTCCATTGCAAAAATATTTCTCTCTTCTTCAGTTACCATTTCAGTTTGATAAGATCTTATTTTCAGAAGGACACTCTGCCGCCCTCAAGACTGGGTTAGGCTGATTTCCTGTGCATTCTCCCAGCATCCTGCACTGCACCCCACTATGTACTATTAGCCAATCTACCTGCCTCTCTACCACCCTCTCTCTACCTCTAAACTTTTCCTGATGCAGGGTCAGGACCCAGTAAAAAATGCCCGCATACAGAAGGCACTCAGTAAATACCTGCTGAATGAATAAATGACAGGACAAGTACCACCTGTGAATTGATTAAAAATGAGTATTTGGAAAATCACCAATACAATCACTTTGAAGGCTTATAAATATCATTTGTGGACTTACTGTTTCTTTTTCCCTGGTTCATCTGAAGCATGGCAATTATTGCAGATTCAATATTATAATTTTCAGCTTCCAGGTTCTGGACTATTAAGTCAAAATCCTAGCCAAGAAACAAAGAAATGCTTCAAGACTGGATCTACTTTTCTACCTAGCTCTACTTCAATAATTTGATAAACACAAAGATGTAACAGTGAGAATGGACAAAAGGTTTCAAGAATTTTCCATTTACAATTCCCAAATAAGGTTGGTCACTTGAAAATGCATTTTATTATTACAAATGAATTCCCTTTATAAAACTGCACTTTTAATAGTGCAAACACCAGTCAGAAAAAATTAAACCCACTCAYTAAGATTTTGAGTAGTGCCRGGTACAGTTGCACACACCTGTAATCCCAGCAGCTCAGGAGGCTAAGGCAGGAGGATCACAAATTCAAAGCCAGCCTCCGCAATGGTGAGGCGCTAAGCAACTCAGTGAGACCCTGTCTCTAAGTAAAATACAAAATAGGGCTAAGGGTGTGGCTCAGTGGTCGAGTGGCCCTGAATTCAATMCCCAATACCCCCAAAAAAGATTCTGAGTAGTACTAGGTCAAGTCTGGCAAACAAGAGGGAAATGAATAAACAGCTCTCATTAGGTCAGACCACCAATCTCCTGGACTGTCTAGCCCTCATGCTGGCATGCTCGAGTGATGCCACAAGACCAGCAGATACACTAGGCACACTGTTTAGAAAGCCCTACTGCATGACAGGAATACTAACTGAACATCCAGTTGCATTGCAAACTTTCTGGACGGCATCTTCTACTTCATCTCTCAGGTCGTCCTCAAAGTCAACTCCCTTTGTCTTGGTCTTTTCTCTTTTATTTGACTCATCTTCATGAAGCATCTGAAACTAAAGAAAGCACAAAGCATAAACTCTTGCAAATCTTGTTCAGAATCTCCAACACAGAAAGATACTCTAATCTCAAAACATTCAAACATAGGGGAGAAAACTCTGGAAACAACTTTAAGAGAACAATAAGTATACTAAATTCTATCCACACACCGAGATTCCAGGCCACCATAGTGAACAAAAGAAAGGCCCAAGAGACAAGAACCACTCAGCAGAGACAAAGTCAGAACTTCTACAGTTTCTAGATGCTGACGTTTGGCCACTTCTGCTGACCACAACAGCATATTTGCCTCTACTCATTTCCAGAGCTGTGAACTGAACCTCGGGACACAGTCCTCTACACAGACCCATGCTAGTCTTGAAGAAATATACACACAACCCTCATCTGGTTCCCAGGTCCTCTCTGATCATCGGTGAGCTCTGGGGTACACAGCAGAGCATGACTCCTCACTTCCAGTGTATACCATGACATTCAGGGAACCTGCCAACTGGAATTCTAAAGCAACAAAGAGTAATTCACTTAGAGTTCAAGAGGCCTTTGTGACCAGATCCTAAATCAGAAAAGCTATAATCATCCCTGTGAGGACTCCAGCAACTTCTCCTTCTGCTTCCCATTAACACAGGAATGGAAATGGACAAAGGTATTTCTATTTTTTGCATGTAAAAGTTGAAGTGGAGTCCAGCAATGGACAGTATCTTCCTTAGAATGTATTACAAAATAACCTATTATAAAATTATACATTAACAGTCTAACACTGAGTATCAAGAGTCTTGGAACCAGTAGTTTCACAACTTTGTAATTTAGCCAAAGGAAATGTCAAATACAGGATTTACATAAAAGTACTCATAACAACATTACTTAGAGTGGTGAATAACCAGAAGCAAGGTAAAGGTATAAGTACAATTAACCACTAGAAATCCATAGAATGCTATCTTCATTCCCATTAAATTGAGGAACACAATCAGGATTTCACTACCACCATTTATTATTTAACATTTTAGCAATAAGAGCCAATGCAATTAGCCAAGACAAACAAAAGTATAAAATGAGGAAAAAGAAATCACTCTTTGTAGATAATTCTGTACCTAGGAAAAAAATAAGAGAATTAACAAAAGACAAACATCAACAGAATATCCTAGTACAAACAAAAAGAATTCTAATTCTGGCAAATCATGTATYAGATGAGAATCTAAGTCTCTAGAATACATAAGAATATATAAAGAATTTTTACAAAAAGACAGCCCAATTAAAAATAAGCAAAGGACTTGAGCAGATATTTTTCCAAAGATTCAAACTACCAAAAAGCATATGAAAAAATATCCAACATCATTAGTCATTATGAAACTGCAAATCAAAACCACCAGAAACTAGGGTGACTACTTTCCATTAAGAAAAAGRAAAGAGGGGCTGGGGTTGTGGCTCAGCAGTAGAGCACTCGCCTAGCACGTGTGAGGCTCTGGGTTCGATCCTCAGCACCACATAAAAATAAATAAAGAAAAAGAAAAGAAAGGAAGAAGAAAGATAATAAAAATTCGAATGYGGAAAAAGTAGAGCCTTCATATATTGCTGGTGATTATATAAAACAGTACCACCCACTGTGGAAAACAGTTTGGCAACTTTTTTCCTCAAAAGTTAAATTCAGAATTCACCATATAACCCAGTAATTCCACTCCAGTATATCCCAAAAGATTGAAAGCAGGTACTCAAACAAATATATTCACAAATATTCATAGTAGTACTATTTTCAGTAGCCAGAAGGTGAAAAAGACGGGCTTTGTTGATGGGCAATCAAATGTCCATCTTCGGATGAATGGATAAACAAAATGTGATACATCTATATAATGGAATATTTATAAGGCCATTTTAAAAAATATTGACAAATGCTACAACACAGATGAATCCAGAAAGCATTATGCTAGACAAAAAAAAGTCAGACAGGAAGGCCAAAGATGGACGGATTCCATTTGTACTAAATGTCCAGAATAGTTTTGAGACAAGGCAGGCAGGCGGTTGGCTGGATGAAAGGGGAAACAGAGAATGACTACTTCATGCGTACGAGGTTTTCTTTGGGGGTGATAAATGTTTTGGAACTAGACTSAGGAAGTGCTTCTGTACCATTTTGGTGGTTTAAAATGGTTTAAAATGGTTCTACAGACTATTTGGGTATATAATTAGCATTTTGTTATTATAAATGATAACCAGCGAGGAAATATGAAGAGAAAAAAAGACCTTTTCCTTACAATAGAAACACAAAACAGAACAGCTCAGAATAGGAGACTTTCTGATCCCACAAGTTGCCTCTAGGGAAGGGAACAGGATGGGTAAAGCAGAAGGGTGACAGAAGAACTTTCAATATATATCCTATTATATTTTGAATTCTGACCCATGGACAAATATGAACAACTCAAGAAACAAAATTGTTTTAAAAATGATGGCTTCAGAATGTAAGTAACAATATGAGAAAAGGCTTCTGTGATAATGTGTTAATTGAAAAAAGCAGGAACCAAAGTTATATAAATAATAAATCTCAAGCCATCTGTGATACATTAAATGACCAAAAGGAAATCTACCAGAACAGTAACAAAATTCGCAGCCGGTGGCTGATTTGTGTCTGTTTTTTCCTTACCTTTTCTATACTTTCCAATTTTCAGTAAACAGTCATGGATCAATTTTTAAAATACAAAAGTGTTTTTTTAATTTCATAGATTTCATATATACATGAATCATAACTATCAGCTGATGGGGAAACAAAAGGCTAACAAGCAGTTTTATCTCTCTCCCTAACCCAACCTAAAAAGGAAGAAACATTCTAAGAACCAAAGATCCTTAGCACCAACTTTCCACTAAAAAAAAAAAAAAAAAAAATCCCTGGTTTCAGCTCCAGGGCAGGTGGCTCTGGACCTGCTTCCTGTAGGGTTGAGAATACAAAGGAAATGGGGCTCACTCACATCAGTCTGGAGATGTGCTGGTGCCTCCGAGTTGTCATTGATCCTCCGAACGCTGTCATAGTGTTCTCCGTACCGATAGGCAATGTGCAACTCCCGCACACTGCTTTTGTCTGTACCCCGAATCTGCAGACAAAACAAGGAGCGATGAAAGAGAGGGTCTGGACCGTTCACTCTGAAGACCTACCAGATGCTAACTGGAAATGTGACGGAATATGTCATTACTGATTTCTGAATTATCCTCCTCCCACTCTTATATGCTTTGATGTGCTTAGTTAATATGTAATGATGTGGGAATAAATCCATAAGAAAACACCTTCAAATACCAAGGGCAGGTTATAGATAAGCTGAAGTTTCAGGGGCTTTAGGACCTCAGAACCCCTCAAATGCACAGACCCTTCCAAYAGAGAAGATGGGGGTTGATCTAGATTTGTTGAGCTTAAAGCTCAAACAATTTGAGAGGCATCTTTGAGAAACAGAATGCAAAATTCCAATTTTAAAACTGCTAGAACTTTGAGAGGGAGCCATATAAATGGAACCTAACACACTTCATTAGCTTCACCTGTCCTTAAAAGAAAACCTGCATTTTCCATCACCCACAGACATATTATCAGCAACAAACTTGAAATCTTCTGCTTACACCAATTTAAAAACAAAATAATATTTAGTAAAGTAATGTACCACACTGCACAACCCTGGAAGCGGCATTCATAAGGTACTCTGAACAAATGGCACCCCAGTACTACACAAGAAGAATAGGGCTCCCTAAAGGCATACAACAGAGAAGCACTGAGTCTGGTTTGGGCAGATTCCAAAATAAAAACTATTTCCACAGAAACTCTAAAGTAACCCTGACTCTATCCCTTAGGACAGAGTACCTGTCCAAGGAACTCTTTTTGTTAAAACTCCAAACATCAATACCTTCTTCTTTTTGTTACTCCAAGTCACAAGTAGTTCAGATACTACCAAATTATAACAGCATCTGTGGTCCAAAAACAGGAAAAAAAAAAAAAAAAATCATGGAACAAAGAGGAACCACACAGGTCCAGATGCTGGGACTGTGGAGGTTTTCTCCAGTGGAAGACCTGGGTCTCAAAGGGCAGAGGGTCTACTATATACACAGAAAATGGTAACAGCTCATTTGTCTCCCAGGAAAAGTACTAGGAAAGGGAACACTTCATTAGAATTTTTGAATGACGCAACTCTCTACAGCCCTTAGATACATAACAATATACACATACTACAAATGTAAAAAAAAAAAAAAACCCACCACTTGTGTAGTCACCAAGTTTGAACCATAGTTTTCATGGATGGATTACAAAGGACTTTCACCCTCCATGCCACACATCCACAGCACAAACTCCATTTCTAAGCAGAAAAGCATACAGGTGTCAGTATCTCCATGCTGTGAGTGTGAGCTGACTCATCATTAATGCAAGARGTCTTGCCCAGACAGGAGCAACTAACGATTTCAATTCTTAAAAGTTTCATAAGAAGCTTGACTGGAGAGAAGGGACATGGAGAAAATCCAATGGAAATAACACTAATCTATTTTTTTAAATGTATACTTTCATTGTTCAGCAATTCATGAAAGAGAACACTACAGAAATAAGTGTGAAAAAAAATCTAATTATACAGTAGGCTGGAGTTGTGGCTCAGAGGGAGAGCGCCTGTCCAGCATGCACAAGGCATTGGATTAGATCCTCAGCACCACATAAAAATAAAATAAAGGTATTGTGTCCACCTATAACCTAAATATAAATATTTTTTAAAAATCTAACTATATTGAATTATCTTCTATGCTATCTAGGTAATCAAGAAACTTAAAAAAAAAGTTATCAATGCAGGAAAAAATAGGTTATGGTTACTGAGTTGGCACCAAGTATTTTCCTTCAAACTTAGGCTCCAAATGACTTTGATGACTTCTGCTAAACAGTATTAAGTGTAATGATAAAATCTGGAAAAGCAGTAACCAATGTCCTTGGCTCACACATCATCCTTAGAAAGAAAGCGCCCCACTGAAAAGGTGATCACTCCACCTGGAGTCAGTACCTCTAGCAACATGGCCCCAAAGAACATACAGCTACTGTCCCACTGCTGCTCATTAGATCCTTATAAGGTGAAATTCCATGCTAACCCTGGGAGCTATAGCAGAATTTTGTTAGAGGATGCTGTGCTGTACACAAAAGGCTGAATACTTCCATTTATATGGCATTCTGGAAAAACAAAACTGTGAAATTCAGACAAATCACATGGTGGTTACAAGAGGCTGGGCACTGGGTGCAGGTGTCAGTGACTGGAAAGAGCAAGTGGCACCTTGTGGCAGTGGAACTATTTCACAAGTCGATGGAGGAGGCTGAACGACTTGTCAGAACACAGAATTGTTACCTGGAAAGGGCAGGTTTTGCTACATGTAAATCATCTCTCTATAAACCTGACCTTTTTTCCCCTTAAGCAGTACAGGCTATGATTAAGCAATTTACAAGGGAATATACACAGATGCCATATGAAGAAAAGGGTGCTGTAACCTTTCTTATGATAATAATCAACAGGGAAATGTAGGCCTGTGTGTGTATATGTACATATATATGTATATGTATATACATACATACACACACAAATTTGTATTGCATGCAGATGTATTTTAAATGGGTTATAAAAACACCCTGCTATATACCTTCCAATTACATAGGAATGTTTGTTTACAGCTTCTAGGTGTGTGACACTGGTTACTGCTTTTCCAAATTTTGTCATTACACTTAATACTATTTAGCAGAAGTCATCAAAGTCATTTATATTAAAATGTTAACAGCGATCATCTCTAGGCAGTGTGACTCTGGGTGAGTTTTATTTATCTTTATGGACTTTTTTGAACTCTCAAAGTTTCCTACAATTAACATGTTTTAATTTTCTAATTAAAAAAAAGTTAGGGGTTGGGGATATACCTCAGTTGGTAGAGTGCTTGCCTTGCATGCACAAAGCCCTGGGTTCGATCCCCAGCATCAAAAAAATAAGAAAAAGTTAGAAATAAGAAAGTAGTAGGAAAGAGAGAAACACAGAAATCACAGGAACAGTCTTCAGGACCTGAGCTACAAAGTGACAAGAAGCACTCTGAATCTGATAAGAATAAGAAGAGGACGGGAGCCCAAACTTTGATCTTCCATACTCAAGAATGTTTGGTTTGATGGACTATTTGGGAGATGAGGTTAATTTAAGATAGAAAAGGTAAATAAAGGTGAACACCACTTCACAACAGGGGTGGAGGAAAGAAACACTAGTGGCGTAACAACATGTCTGCCCTACCACAGCACACACTTGGCATGTGTTCTAAAACTGTTGTAGAAGAACCACTGAAACCGCTGTGTACAGCTGAGCAGAACAGAAATCGACCTGACATCCTAGACCCTGGTAAGTTCTGCTGAACAAAATACATTGCTAGCAATGGCTATTATGATGAATATTATCTTGTTTCCCTCTACCTTCAAAGCAGATACAAATATGGGAGTGGGCAATTTCAAAACCAGAATCTGTAAGCACTAATCCTTTAAATTCTCACTTGGATATTTTTAAGTATTTCCACATTACGCTCTCTGTCCCCAAGTTACCCAATTAACTGACTGCCAAATAACGTTTATAGCATTTTAAAAGATTTCTGAATTGTACTCTATTTGTCCACAGCACAGGGGTCAATTCCAATTACCACAAAACTCTTTGTCTTTGATTAGGCTAATTGTCCAAGTTTTTCTGCTTATTCAATGTCACAAGTCAAGCCCCATCTGTTAGAATATCCCCAAAGCTAATTATGTAGATATATTCTTGAACATGTGACCTACCTGCCACAGGGGGGCATTTAGTTGATGAATCACCACATTCAACTGATGATTTCTTGCAAAGGCTACAATTGCATCATTGCCAGCAAAAGTACCAGGCTTTGCCAAACTGGCCACTACATGGAAATAAGAAAGAAAAAGGCAATCTTTATAAAGAAGATATCCAAATGCAAACAAGCTTTGATATTTATTCGGTTCCAAAAAATAAGAAACAAGAGCCCACATCTGCATAGACCACCAGCTTCATCATAGTCTATGAATTCAGCTGGGTGAACAACATGCAGACTAAGGAGCACTAACCATTCAGTAAAAAGTATCCATTCATTTATTCCTTCAATGAACATAAACTGAGTACTTCCAGTAAACACAACATCAACACAGTGATCACAACAGCTTACACTAAGRAATGTTTATTAAGCAGGTGTCAAGCACTGCTCTAATTGTTTCTCACAGATTACCAATTTCAGTCCTTAAGCCTCTGGAAGAAGTATTACTATTATGCATGCCACTCAAGAGATGAGGAAACTGAGGCATAGAATAGTTAGTAACTGTTCAAGGTCACAGGGTCTATACAGGGCAAGCTGGATTTCATAAAGGCAGCATGACACTAAGCCACTCTTGGCTACTCCACCTTTGCTCTCAAAGAGTTCACACCTAGTGGGAGCAAACAACCAGAAGACACGCACTACTGATGCCTAAGTGCTTCAGAAAAGGGACGTGTAATGAAGAATATGCCCTTGCCCAAAGAGGGGTCTGTCCTTTATTCCAGGYTCCTGCAAGACAACCTCTAAACTTCAGAAGCATCTCTGTTATCCACAGTGGCCCCTAGACCATACCTCCATATCCACCACATGACCTTCCTGAAGATATTCAAAGGGAAATTTCACATCACAAACTAAAAACTTTTTTCATACAAAATGATATTTTAATAGGAAAAATGACACAACTTTTTATACAGCACAAAACCACAAAATGTGCCCCATATACATATATTTAACTTGTAAACTGCTGATTCTCTGATAAACTGTATCTATCAGCTAGACAAAAAATCATCCCAGAGGGGCCGTCAGAATTTAGAGATCGGCATAAACCACCCACTGGTAGTTTCATACTATATATCTGGTTCTAATAAATGGATTCTTTCCCAGTGAGGAACGGTTAAGGTCACTGRTAGCTTCTACCCAAATGTCCTCTTCCTACTGCCCTATTTCTTGCTAACAGCACAGCCACCAAGCTGTACTAAAGCAGAAACTTCAGMATCACCTTTGTCTCCTCCTTCTCCCCTCTTCATTTCCAGTGAGTCCTGTCAATTATACACAAGCTGGGTCTTAGACTGGGTCCTTCTACTCCTTATTCATAGACCCTCCTCTTCCCTCATCCAGTCAATGTGGAGAGCCTACCTCGCTTCCCCTCTGGGCCTCCCTCCTACCCATTCTGTATGGCCTCTGGGATCCATGATCAACACACAGGAGTGATTCTCTTTCCTGATAAGAGACAGATGTGAGCCCTGGGATGAAAATGCTATGCATAAAACATAAAGGTATCAGCACTTGGCACAGCAGAGCCTCAGTAAATATTTGTTGAAATTAAAGTCTAAAGGTTCATTTTAATTTCTTAAATAGATCTGAACCCAAAAGAAATTAATTAAAGTCATTAACTGATCTGCCTCAAAGAAAATAGGTTGTGTTTGAGTGTGAGAAATTAACATGACTTTATTAATTTTTCTGATTACAAAAGTAATGAGAATCTTTAATAACCAAAAAAATGTAGAAGATAATCCTGTCATCTCCAGGCAACTAATTTACTAAGCACTTATGTTAATCTTGTTATCTAATCTAATCTTTACAAAAAGGCCTAGAGATAGGTGTTTTGTTGTTTTTATAGAAATGTAAAGAGAATGAGTTCTGAAAAATAAGCACAGCCAAGAAATAACAACCATACAATATCAATGTCTTCCCAGACTTCCTCTGCTGTGTGTGTTCACCTTTTAAAAAGGAACCAGCATACACACTGTTGTCTAGCCAGTTCTTCCCATTCCACTGACAAAAAAAAAAAAAAAAAAAATCAAGAATTTAATAGTACTTTTGTTTGTTCCTTCTTTGGTGGTGCTGGGGATCAAACCCAGGGCTTCATGCATGCTAGGCAAGCACTCTAACACTGACTACACTTTTAGCCTCAATTCCACCATTTTTATTAAGGGCACATACATCTAAATCTATGGATCTCCAATTACCCAGCACACTGTCTGTTACACAGCATGCAAATAAGTAGTTGATGAATAAACAAATGCCAAAATTGATAGTAGCCAAACCTCTTGGTGGGGAGGGTGGGGGATGCGAATGCACTCAATTACCCAAAGCATCCCTGACTCCTGAAGGATCCAGTCCCACAATGAACCTACCATGCTTCTCGAAAGGAATGTCATCTTCCACAAAGGGTTCAAAATCTTCCCGCTGCTTTATCATATAGTCCACAGTCTCCTGTCGGTGCTTGAGATGATTTCGTGAGTGTCCCTCCAACTGATCACCAAGGGCTCTGAATAGGCAATTGCTGTCAAAACAAAAATGATGGTCAAGACCTTTCAAAAATAAACTTAGTTCATTTAAAACAAATGCTGCTTCAGGCCAGGCCACCCCTGGAAATCTTTTTTTTTTTTTAATTTTTATTCTCTAAGGACATTATTTTTTTAATATTTTTTTAAGTTGTAGATGGACACAATACCTTTATTTATTTTTTTTATGCGGTGCTGAGGATGGAACCCAGTGCCTCACGTGTGCAAGACAAGTGCTCTACCACTGAGCTACTCCCCCAGCACCCCCTGGAAACCTTTCACACACAGATAAGGCAAAGCCTCCAATCTAACAGGCCAGGATTCTTCCCAAATGCCAGGGACAGAGCCCCAGGACACAGATTCAAACACATTACCTCCTCAAGCAGCAACAAACAAGAATGTTAGTCCCCACTTGGCAGCTGACCGGCTTGGGGAAGTCATTAAATTTCTCTGGGCCTCAGATGCTTTAATGAGTGAAGCTGGGGATACCCTGACTACCTGAATACAGGGTGAAGACCTCATAGGCCATTCCAGGCCAAAGGGCTAGGAATCCCAGACCCTCTTCCAAATAAGATCGTATCTACTGCCTTTTCTGAACAAAGTTTCACTACAGCTACCCTCTAGGGCATCATTCATTTAATAAAAAGTACCCAAAAGAGAGCAATTTGTTAAGAYCCCCAATACTAACTGAACACAGTACCCTATAGGAGCGCTTTTAAGAAGTAGAGAAAGCTATAAGAAGGAAGCACTTGGACGACAAGCAGCTATACTATGGAGACACTTCCCCCCTTGCCTCCTCACCTCTCAGGGAGCAACATGCCACTGTCACTCCTGCCAAATGAAAACTTAAAACACATTTTTTCCTAAAATCAAAATGCTCATAAGAAATTCTAAGAGTTATCTATATGTTCAAATCCTTCAAAGACTCCTAAAATTCCAGACGTATCACAAACACAGAAGCCCAGAAACATAAAGACTGAAACAAGACAAACACAGCTGGTGTCCTGAAAGGAATGAAACAGACACTCTACAGCCAGCTACCCAGCGGCAGCCTAACTAGGAGCTCTTCCAGCAAAACAAGGCGCTGGTACTCTAGTTCCAAAACACAAACTCACCACTTTCAGAGAATTTCCGACCTACATGTGTAGGAGAGAAAGGCTTTGTTTTTCAACTCAGAAAAGTAAGTTTTCAATAGAAAGTTAAAAGGCAGAAATCTCTTCAACGTTTAAGGAATATATTTATATTTTTGGTGGGGAGAGGAGGAGATAGAATTTAAATAAGGGTGATTCTATGAATTAGAAATCGAGAAGTTACATATCCATCTAGGACAAGATTCTAAAAAAGATTGGGATATACAGTTCTAGCTACTAGACTGAGGTGCCTACTGCTAAAATCTAACAATGGCAGTCTTTTCTCAGCCACTGGGAAAAAGGAGACGAATGGATAAAATGTTTTCCATTTCAAGCTTTTCTCTCAAGCTTTTCTTAAACCTTTAGCATCTGTCACCACTAGTCTATCCCTGAATCTAGTTTAAGAGGTATTACTTAACATGAAATTATATATATATATGTTTTTAATGTATTAGTGCATTACAGTTATACATAATAGTAGGGTTAATTGTGCCATATTCCTAAATGCATATAACATACATTTTCTCCATTACAATTCCCAGTTCCCAGTACTTCCTTTCTCCCTCCCCTCCCCTCCCACTGGTCCCCTTCCTATGCTCTATTGATCTTCCTTCTATTTATTTTTCAATTGGTGCATCATAGTTATATATAAAATTGGAATAGATGGCAATATATTCCTACATGCACACAGCATGCTTTCTTCATTCCTCAGTTCTTCACCTTYCCCGCCCCTCTCACCCAATYACTTACGTTTAATACATCAAAATTCACAATATTCTATACAGAGTAACATGCTTACTAAGAACTTTTATTAACATGGGCAAATGTCCTCCTTATAAGCCCAGACAGCAGGTATAAAACTGTTCATATTGCATGAGCACTAACACCATCATCTGAACACTACACATAGAAACACATGCAGAAAGGTACTCAAAGAAAAAACACTGAAGCCACCACCTAAATAACTCTTATAATGTGCCAAGGGCAGTTGTGAATACTCGACCTGTACTAAATGTACTTAGTCCTCAAATTCTAAAAGATAGCTACTACTATTATCCCTCAAGGGTAAATTGCCCAAGGTCACAAAACTAGTAGGTGGTAGACCGAGGACTCAAACCCAGGCAACTCTGCTTTCAGTCTGCACTCTCTCCTGAAGGTCATCACTAAAAAGTTACCCATCATCATTCCTAGATAGGAGTGATTGTTAAATTTATTTAATCTACTTTTCATTTACCAAACTTTCTTTGAGCCCAGTAAAAATAAGTCAGGAGGGCTGGGGCTGGGGCTGGGGCTCGGGCTCAGTGGTAGAGCACTCGCCTAGCACATGTGAGGCCCTGGGTTTGATCCCCAGCACCACATAAAAATAAATACATTAAAAAAAAAAAAAAAGTCAGGATAGAATAAAACCACTTGCTTTCCTGACAGGGTTACAAAGCAGTGACACAGGAAACATGACAAACACTACAGGGCCTGGACTCCCTCAGGGAACCCAGCAAGAGCACCTGAGAAGCTGAGAAGACAGCAGCAGTGCCCAAATGACCTCTAGGAGATCCAGCTGCTTCCGGAGTCCACACACCCATAATCACACCACAGCTGAGCTTCTCAGTCTCCACACTAGGGACATTTAGGGAGTCCTTTGTCGTGAGGACTGTCCTTTGCATTATAGGACACCTGGGAACATCTATGGCCTCTAGCACACCACTACCTCCCACCCCACCAGTTATGGCAACCAAAAATGTCTCCAGACACTGCCAAATATCCCCTGGGAGGTAAAATCATCCCTGCTTGAGAACCATTGTGCTTTAGGGATACAAGTAAGGTCTTGCACTGAATTCCCAAAACAACCAATTACAGAACACCACAAGTACCAAGCTGCCAACAAGGAACCCACCTACAGTAAGATGTAGCACCTCAGGCTACTCACACTGAGATCAGACCAGAATGGAGAAAAAAGGGAAGACCCTCAACTATTTTCTTAGAGCAGCAAACTTTGTTTTATTTTATCCKAAGGGTACATTTTTTTTTAAAAATCTGACACTTTCCATCCATCACACACACAGAACCCTACACTATCCACTGCAACAAAGACTGACATCACCATATCAACAGACCACAACCCAAAGAGGGCTGAACCAGTTCAGCTCTGCTACCCCAGTGAAGAACTGGTGAACCGGAGGGGTTTAGCTTCATGGAGCCCACACAAGAATAAATCTCATTTTAACCAATAATGACCAAAGAACAGGGAAGACCTGAGCATTCTGGTTAAGCTAGCCTCTGTGCCCGCACTGCCCTAACTTCCAACTTTTTATTCTATACTCCTGCTGTGCTACACAACTTATAGATGTCTCAAAAACAATGTGCTCCTGGGCCTTTGCAGATACTACTCAACCTGGAATGTTCTCCTGGGATATTCCTATGGGTCCTTCATGATTCAATTAGGTCAGAGGATGACTTCTTGAGAGGCTTTTAGTAGTGTAGCCTATGAACATCTGTTGAATAAACCGAAAAGACCCTCCTGACCACTTCAAGGAGTGTTAGCCATTTCCTTCTCAAAAATACCACTACTGTCAGTCACTGTTATTAAGAATATATCAAGGGCCAGCGTGGTGGTGCACGCCTGTAATCCTGTCACTCAGGAGGCTGAGACAGGAGGATTTTGAATTCAAAGCCAGCCTCAGCAAAAGCAAGGCACTAAGCAACTCAGTGAGACCCTGTCTCTAAAAAAAATACAAAATAGGGGTGGGGATGTGGTTCAATGGTCAAGTGTCCTGAATTCAGGCCACCGTACGCCTCTACTGGGAAAATCATAAATATGTATACTGTAATTATATCGTATCACCTATTCTCAAAGTGTGGCCCAAGAGACTGGGAAGTGAGTAGGTCTTCTGAGACCCTTTCAARATATCTGTGAGTTAAAAAAACATAACATGTTATCAATTACCTTCCTCATTTTCACTGTCTCACAAGTGTACAGTGGAGTTTTCCAGAGGCTACCAAGTATATGAGTTGATCACTCCCACATTAGGTATGGAATGCTGAATAACTAGTGGAATGTGTGATTGTATATTCCTATGTTTCAAGAATTTGTTTTACTTCCCAATATAGAAAATACTGACAGCTATAACTCAAATAAACAACAGCTCTTGGGTTCCCCTGTAATTTTTAAGACTACAAAGAGGTCCTAAGACCCAGTGCCGTATGCTTCTCCTTACTAGGTATGAACTACTGATGTATCATCATACATGTCATCAATCTGTCACCAGTATCTTACTCAATGCTCATTGGAGTAAGTGGGGATGTATGCTCTCTCTGGGGGAGACACAGAAGAGGTAGTATCCTCAAAGTTTCCCCAAAACCATATGAAAGCCCCCTCAAGATKTCTAGCTCCCTGTACTGATTCCTATTCATGAGCAACTTTGTTAAGCACTTGTTTCCAGCACCCTGAGGTAGAGAATACCATACCCACTATAACAAACAATCCAATCATTTGCAAGCAATGGCCCCACACCAATTCCAACATATCCATCCAACTGGCCTTTTGGTTTATACAGCAGTGTGCTTATGCAGGGTCTATTAGGGTACCCTATGAACTTTTAGTGTAACCTCTAAACTTTTCTCATTCTCTCAGCAAACAGGTACTGAATCCCTTCTGTGTCAGACACTGTGCTAGGTGTGATGAATAAATGTGATCAAGCTGTAATTGTGACTTAAGCAAAAACACCAAGGCCAGAGGGTGTGGCCAACTCTTTGTGAACAGAGAGAAATCCAATTTGCCCAAAGCAGTGAAGGAAAGGTGGGAAAGGTAAATTAAGGACAGTTTATTATCAGCATTTGACCAACAAGCTGCAATGTAATATGAGATCATGAAAACACCTTTTTTTTTCACAATTTCTAGCTAAGGAGACTCTGCGTGGTCTCTAGCTTCACCCTGTTCTTCCCTCTGCCCAAAATGACAGCTCATTTGAAGGGATGAAAAAAATGGAGCCAGGCTATCCCCGTTTTTGTCTCTTGCAGTGACACCCTCAGCAAACARGCCTCCTTTTCTCTACCCCTGCAATGGGGATGCTGTTCTCCTCCCACTCTATCTTATCATCTTCCCCCTTCCATCCAGGCTCCTAGATGCCTATTTCCSTCCCTTCCTCCATTCTCTCCCTCGGGCCAGAATTTTATCCTGTGTTCCTTAAAGTCCTGAACCTGGATTCCTGTCCAAGCCCATGCAAGCTCGGGTAAAGCACGTCTGCTAACAGGAGAAACTGAGGCCCATGGACTAAGATACAGAATCTGCCTTCAGCTGGGTGAACATTAGGTTCCAAGTGCCGACGGGGGCCACSGCCAGCAGCAAAGGCCACAGGAGGCAAAGCACTACACCAAGGGGCTGACGCCTCTTCCTGTCTGTCTCCTCTCATTGTGACCGCTCCACCTCGTTCCTTCAGGTCTCGGCTTAGACGTCACCTGTCGGAAAGGCCTTCCCGGCCCCCAGTCCGCCGTGAGGCAGCTCCAGGGCTCTCGCGCGGGGCCCTCTTTCTAGTTCCCTCGCAGCGTGGGCCACGCCTGGGAGCCTGGGGTCGCCACGTGCGCCCCGGGGAGGGAGCCTGAGCCGCCTCGCTGCCACCGGACCCGCGCCCTCGCGCCGGTGCTGGCTCGCGGGAGGCGCCCGGGACGCCCGAAGGAAGGGAAGGACGGGAGCGGCGACGGCGGCCAGACCCGGCCCGGCGCGTCCCCGGCGCCGCCTCCCGCGCTCCCGGCCCGCCTCACCCGTCCCCCGGCACCTCCCGCAGCTTCAGCCCCAGGGCCTGCAGCTGGTTGGCGAAGCTGACGAACTCCTCCTCGCAGCCGCCGCCGCCGCCGGGCTCCGGCCGGTTCCGCCGCTCCTTGGCCAGGGCCCGGCGCGCAGCTCGCTCGTCCCGCTTGCGCTCGGCCTCGGCTTTCCGGCTGCCGCTGCCGGGCCGGCTTCTCGCCACCTGCTTTCGGGACATGACCCCGGCCCGCGGCCCGCGGCCCGCAGCGGCGCGTGGGAAAGCCGCAGGACCGCCGGGCGGCCGCCTAAGAGAAGGGGCACGGGCGACCGAGCCCGGCGACGGCGACGAGCCCACGACGCCTGCGCGGGCGCCGGGCACCCCGGTCACGTGAGGGAATCCCCGCCCCCTTCTCTGGGGCTCGGCAGGCAGGCGCCATAGAGAGACCCTTGGAGGGCTAGAGAGGCACTCACCTTGGTTTTTTCTACTCCGCCCCCTAGTGGTGGGTGGTACTCAGTGAGGAGCAGGCCTAAGCAGAGCCCTAAAAGATCCAGGACAAGACAATGTTTGTAGAATAAGGGGAGATGAGAGCAGCGGCAAAAGTTAGGAAAAGAGGGAAAGTGAAAACAAGGGACGGCTGGAGATGTAGCTCAGTGACAGACGCCTGCCTAACGTGCACCAAGCCCTGGTGTTCTATCCCCAGAAAGAGAGAAAAACAAAAAACAGCCTACAGTTGCAATAGGCACTTCCAGATGGCTCATTCTTGTTTGTTTATTCACAAATTACAAGGGTCTGAATCTTAAATAATTGCGAGATCACAGAACTAAGAGGCGGGGCTTTGCCCTGGCTCCAAAGTCCCTCCCTCTTCTTCTTCATCCCAGCCCCTGTTTCTTAGTCCTCTACCTACCCACAATAATGCCACTGTCTTCTCCTTTGGACTCTGTAACCAATCTCTTGCCATCCCTGGGACGGTTCCTTGTGGTTCTGCCTTTTATCTTATTTTCTCATCTCCTTTAAGATAACCTTTGGCAACAGTCTCCACTTCCTGGGTTAGGACTAGCATCTCTGTTTCCAATTATCTATGTAAATTAACTCTCATTTCCCGTGCCAGGTGCCAGGGGTGGCATGGAATTAGACACGGTCATGGCCTTCAGGGAGCCCACAGTCCAGTGTGGCAATCACAAATACCACATGGCAGATGTGATCAAGAGGGAGGTTCAAGATGTTGAGGAGAAAAAAGTGAAAGATGCAGAGCCGGCTTCCCAGGACAGTTAATTTCTAAGCTGAAGCGTGAAGGATGAGTAGGTCTTGGCCAGATTACGGAAGTTCAGAGCAAAGAAGATGGTCTCCACCACCATGCTGGATTTCAAGGAACAGAAGGGAAGTAGGGTTGGAGCCATGAGGCAGGAAATGGAAGTGAGGTAGCATAGGAGAAATTTTAAAAAAAATAAATAAGTAGAGAGGAGACACGTAGRGAAGAACAAGGGAATGTCATTTTAATCCAGTCTCTCTCCTGAGACTGTCGCTCCCAAATTTCTGGAAAATCTGTAGATCTTAAAGTTACCATAAATTCACCCACTTAGGAAAATTACCCTGTGCATTGTTATTAACACACCGATAAATAGATTAAGAGGTATGAGAGAAATCTATAATGTAGGGCACTTTTGAGCGCTATCACCCATCAGTCAGATCATAGAGAATCCACGATTCCCGAAGGATCCTGAGAAGGACCGGTTTATGTCATCCCTACCTGCCCTCCCGTGCCCACCCCTCCCCAAGTTTCCTTTAGAAGAGAAGCCAGGACCCCCAAACATGTCTCCCACTCTCAAGATGGCCCAGGGTCCTCCCTTGAATGTATCCCTTGCTTTGCCCCCAAAGGTGTCTCTCTCTGAAGACAGCYACGTTCTCCGTGCATGTGTATCTGCTTTCTTAAATAAACCTGTGACTCTGGAACACAATCAAATTCCTCTCTATCATGTCACCAAGGACCCCACTTGTCCTGAGCCCAGCTTCCTTCTTCCACCACCAGGACCTCCTCAGGACCCTCTTCCAGTGACAGAAGGAAGGGTCTTGCTGTGGTTTGGATGTGGCGCGTCCCCCGCCCCCCCCCCACATGCKTGTGCTGGCATCCTGGTCTCCGGGGTGGCGGTGTAGCGCTGCAGAGATGAGGCCTGATCCGTGTGACAGGTCACCAGGGCTGCTCCCTTGAGAAGGGTTGGAGCTGTCTTTCCAGAGCCAGTGGTTAGAGAGGCCCCAGGCCTTCGTGCTTCTGCACTGAATCCCTTTTCTGCCTTTCCACCCTGTGGTGACACAGCCCGGGGCCTGTGACAGAACACTGGCAACCATGCTGTTTGGACCTTGCAGCCACCAGAACCCGAGCCAAACAAACCTCTGTTCTTACAAAGCCTCAACTATCTTGTTATGGCAACACAAACCAGACCAAGAGAGGCTCGATCCCAGGGTGTCACAGGCCATCGAAGGGGTTTAGCCCAAGTCCTTGGGTCATGGGGAGCCACCGGGGGCTTTATCAGGGCCCTGGCCCATCCAGTTCATGATTAGAGATATGACTTTGGCTATRGCAAGACGGGCTGCAGGGGCATGCCAGGTCGCTGCCCAGAGGGAGGGGACATCACCGTGGCATCTGGGGCTAGGATGGAAGAAGTCAACGGGAAAAACATGTCACCTGCGAGTCCATTGTTGTGACTGTCCTGTGTGTTCCACGTTGCTGAATTTCCTCCTCTATGACTCCTCCCTTTCTCACAGGACGCCTGGCCGCGCCCTGTCCTGCACAGATGTCCCAAAGCTGGCCCGGACCCCTCTGTTTATATTGAGAAAAGCAAAGAGAGGGGCATTATGTGTGGAAAACCCCAAACAGGATGGCAGAGGCCTGGGTTTGGCCACATTCTGACACTGACTGACTCCATGGTCTGGGGCTAGTTGCTCGATTCCACGAGCTTCCTTTTCCTCATTGGCAAAATGGGAATGAGGACAGTAAACACCACATGTGATAATGACAAACTTTTATGGTGTTTGGGATGTGCCAGGCACATTCTAGTTGCTTGACATATACTCTCTTATTTAATCATTACAGTATGTTAATATATACTATTTTTATCTCCATGTTGTAGATGAGAGCACTGAGGCACAGAGAGGTTAAGTAACTTGCCCCAAAGCACACAGCTCATGAATAGCAGAGCCAGGATGTGCAGCCAGGTCATCTGGCTCCAAAGTGCCCTCTGATCTACTCAGTCATACTCCACATGCAACTTCTCATAAAAGACAAACCACCCTGTACAACACATGAATTTTATTTCATTGCTAACTTTCTTATGCTTCACGTTATTTGTTGCTGAAACAGTCTTTCTACCCTCTCTGTTGTCTCATATCATTATTGTTGAATTTTGTATTTAATTTCTCTGCCTTAAAATAGATCATAGGACTTCAAATCCTATGAGCCTGGATGTAGTCTCTCCTTAGGCAAGTTATTTACCCTTTGAAGCTCAGGTTCCTAGTCTATGAAATAACTGCATGAAAATAGGAGGGAGGGAGATTTGCAAATATTGAATAAAAAAATATAAAGCCCTGAGCACCCAAGCCCCAACTTAGCAAAGTTCTTTAAATCATTCTTTTGATGGTGCAAAACTCGCAGGCTCAGGGGCAAAGACTGATATTCCAGACTTCAGAAACCAGGGGGAAAGGGTCTGTCACCGCTGAACATGTGGAAATGCAGGTCACAAACACGTTGACAGGAACACAAACACTAGCCCTTCTTGCAAGAGTCTTTTCCTGCCTAAGTCCTTAGCCTTTCAACCCACGCAGAGAACGAGGCCTGGGCTAGACAGTGACTCTCTGTAAGCGCAAATCCACGCCACTCAGAAATTGCATTTAAAGGCCAAGGGGAAGGAGGGCTTGTGAATGAAATGGATGCTCTGCCCGCCTTCGGAGTCCATTAAAAGAATCATCAGACCTCATTGAGTAAAAAGTGTGACTAATAGAATTTTAGTGAAGCGATCTAGCTCAGGACTTTCAGAACACACCATCAAGGGTGTGGGGAAATGAGATTCCTCACGCTGCTGTTAGGAGCTGAATGAATCTAGCCACTTTGGAGAGCAACTGGGCTGTACCTGCTAATGTTTTATATGCCCAGGACCCACATCTCATTATCTACCCTAGAAATAGAAACACGGTAGTCCCCTTCCCCCACAGGAAATACATGTCAAGACCTCCAGTGGTTGTCTAACATTGTCTAATACCAAACCCTATGTAGACTATGTGTTTTCTATACAGACACACCTATGATGAAGTTTCATTTAAAAATTAAGCCCAGTAAGAAATGAACAACAACTAATAATGAAATAGAATAATTATATCAATATGCTGTAATAAAACTGGTAGTATCAATACTCTTGGGCTTTGGGGCCATTATGAAGCAAAATAAGGGTTATTGGACCCCAAGCACTAGGAAACATTGACAATCAGGCTGACAACCAATGGCTCCTAAGTGACAAACAGGTGGGTAGTGTATACAGTGCGGAAMCACTGAATGAAGGAATGAAGGTAGAAGGGAGCAAGACAGCATGAAATTCATCATGCTACTCAGAATGGCAGGCAATTTAAACTTGTGGATTGTTCCTTTCTGTAATTTTCCATATAATATATTTGGATCACAGTCAACTGCAGATAACTGGAGCCACGGAATGCAAAACCATGGAGAAAGGGGCACTCCTGGACCACATCGTATGACCTACCCTAAAGCAAATCATGTACATTTACACTGGGAGGAGCGTCCAAGGGGGGGGTTAAGACAAAATGGTATGTTAAAGCAAATAATTAGAAACAACCTAAATATTTGCCAATAGGAAAAAGGCTTCTAGAATTATGGAACAGCCATTAATTTTATGCAGCAGATTAAAAGAATGGGGCAGGAGGGAAATGAGGCAGGTCTCAATGAACTCACAGGGATAGCTCCCCAAACATGAGGCTGAATGAAAAAGCATGGCAGAGTGATCTTTCCTGTTGCTTTTGTGGCTGTTGTTTTCGATTTTGTAAAACACAACTCCACCAAAAAACACCACGCACAGAAGAGTTCTGATTGCTATAGTGTTCATGCATACTTAAAGATGTGRAAACTGGTCTAGAAAGATACATACCAAATGGACACAGGGTGAAAAGAGGAAAGAGCAAAAGTGACCTAATCTTTTTCATATGTATTTTTTTTTCCAAGAGGGCAATGTGTTCATGTGTCAAGTGTCTAATAAGAATTCATAATAGTGTTTCTCCTATGCCAGTAAAATCTATTCTTTCCTTCCAATTGAAGCCCTACGGGGTTCTTCTACAGACCGATTTTATCAGCAG